CTTGAGAGTCAAAAACTGGCTCACATACAGGATTAAAAATAAAAATACTGAGAGGGGGAAAAAAAATAATCACATTTTTATCCCTACGGAAAGACTCTGCAAGTCTGGATTGATGGGCCTTAATAGAAAATGTCGACTGGAGGTGCAAAAACATTTATCTCGTTCTACTGATTTGATGCAAACAATTTAAACTCCCATTTTTCTGGGGAGGGACACATAAACCCCTCAACCTCCTTCTCTTCCGTATTATTTAGAGAGGAAAAGGGAACAATTTAACGGGTTTTTCCTCTTATTCCCCCTCCCTCCTCAAACGACGTTCTTTTTTCTTCTTCCCAAGAAGCAAAAGACCAGGGGGGCTTATACACACAGGTAATCCTCGACTTACGACCACAATTGAGCCCAGAATTTCTGTCGCTAAGTAAAACATTTGTTAAATGAGTTTTGCCCCATTGGACGACCTTGCCACCGTTGTTAAGTGAATCATTGCAGTTGTTCAGTTAGTAACACGGTCGTTAAGCGAATCTGGCTTTCCCCATTGACTTTGCTTGTCAGAAGGTCGCAAAAGAGCATCACGTGACCCTGGGACACTGCGACCGTCATAAATAGGAGCCAATTGCTGAGCATCTGAATTCTGATCACGTGACCGTGGGGATGCTGCGACCGTCGTGAAAACTGGTCCTAAGTGGCTTTTTCCAGCGCTGTTGCGACTTTGAACGGACTCTAAATGAACTGTGATAAGTTGAGGACTACCTGTATATGCTTACAATAAGAATAAGCAGGTAGCCCTCAATTTATATCCAAAATGGAGCCATCACTAAGCAAGGCAATTGTTAAGTGAACTGTGGCTCTCTTTACGACCTTTCTTGCCACAGTTGTGAAACAAATCACTGCGGTCGCTAAGCGAATCATGTGGTCGTTAACCAAACCTGGCTTCCCTCATTGCTTGTCGGAAGCCAGTTGGGAAGGTCACAAAGGGTGATCCCGTGACGCCGGGGACAATGCATCAGTCATAAATACATGCCAGTTGCCAAGCGACTAAACTTTGATCACGTGACCTTGGGGATGCTGCAACGGCCGTAAGTGTCAAAAGTGAACACAAGTCACAATTGTCAGGGCCGTTGCAACTTTGAATGGTCACTAAACGAATGACTATAAGTCAAGGACTACCCGTAAAAGCCATAAACATTGTTGAGGTGAGTCATCCCTCAGGTGTTAAATTTTAGTCTAAAACTCTGATCTGGCCCCACATTCTCCTATATCAGGGGTCTTCCAATTTGGCCCTTTTATGACTTGTGGACTTCAACTCCCAGAATTCCTCAGTCGGCCATTTTGATGAAACTGCAGGCTTGGATCCAGACCAGGGGTCTTCAAACTTGGCCCTCTGATGACTTGTGGACTTCAACTCCCAGAATTCCTCAGTCGGCCATTTTGATGAAACTGCAGGCTTGGATCCAGAGTAGGGGTCTTCAAACTTGGCTCTTTTATGACTTGTGGACTTCAACTCCCAGAAGTCCTCAGCCAGGCAAGGTGGCTGAGGAATTCTGGGAGTTGAAGTCCACAAATCATAACAGGGCCAAGTTTGAAGAGCCCCCCCCGTTATAGATGCTCCATCACTGGAGGTTTTTAAGAAGAGACTGGACAACCATTTATCTGAAATGGTATTGGGTCTCCTGCCTGAGCAGGGGGCTGGACTAGAAGATCTCCAAGGTCCCTTCCAACTCTGTTATTCTGTTAACTTGGTGGTCTCCATGAGTTTCCAGAAAGTCCTAATATCATTCCTTCATTGGGGAACTTCTCCATCCCTCATGCCCAATCAGACAAATTTTCATTTTAAAAGCTTTTTTTTTTTAATACTGAAACACTGGAATTGTCTCCCAGACTGTCTCTCCCTCTTATTGCCTCCAGTGTGGAATAAGAATGTTGCAAGGCTCCTAAATTTTCAAAGATAGTTTTCAGACAATCCATACCTCAACAATGCTCTGATTAAGTCTCCAAAAACAACTTCCTACTCAAGAGCCTGTGGTGATCTCATTTTGGCACCCAATGCTTATCCGCCAGGCAATAAACACTCTGAACAGATTTGAAAATCAGGGATGAGTTGCAGATGCTTTGAAAGACGATTGTACCGCTGTACGGGGGACCCAAGGACTCTACAAGTAGTCCTCGACTTACAACAGTTGGCTTAGTGACTGTTCGAAGTTACAACGGCGCTGAACTCACGGCCATTTTTCACACTGACCACCTTGGCAGCATCCCCACAGTCCGGTGATCAAAATTCAGACGCTTGGCAACTGGCTCATACGTATGACCGTTGCAGTGATCCCCATTTGCGACCTTCGGATAAGCAAAGTCAATGGGGAAGCCGGAATCACTTAACAACCATCTTACTATCTTATCAACTGCAGTGATCCACTCAACGACGGTGGCAGGAAATTTCATAAAATGAGGCAAAACTCACTTAACAAATGTCTCACTTAACAACCGAAGTCAAGGACTATGTCAGGATAAATGTTTTGCAGTGTTTCTCAACCTTGACAATTTTAAGGCATGTGGACTTCAACTCTCAGAATTCCACAGCCAGCATTGCTGGCTGTGGAATTCTGGGAGTTGAAGTCCACATGCCTTAAAATTGTCAAGGTTGAGAAACACTGCTTTAAAGGCTGAACAGCTTATGTAATGAGGTAATGTAACGGAAGGTGGATGATGCAATCGTAGGAATGACGCAGTAGAGTGTGTGTATCCCTTTAAGCGCCTGAGTTCAAAAGGGAAGGCTTTGCTGGAGTCTTTCTCTCTCGTCTCTTCCCTGCGGTAACTGCTATGTGTTGGAGTTTGCTGTTTCACCACGTGTTATGTATTTATTTCTAGTGTATATTTGTAGGTATAGTGTAATACAATGATGGCAAACCTTTTAGAGACCGAGTGCCCAAACTGCAACCCAAACCCCACTTATTTATCACCGAGTGTCAGGTGTGGGGGGGCCCACTGGGTGGGCGTGGCTATGATGGTCATGGCAGACTAGGTGGGTGTGGCCAAGGTGGGCATGGTCACCTCAATGTTGCTTGCAGGAAGGGATGCCTGTGAGGGCCGGACAGGGTTGGGGGAGATCCAGGGGGTCTCTGGCAGGTGGGGCAGTGGGCAGGAGGCTCGTCCTGCACGGTGAGGTGAGGCAAGGCGAGCAGGGCGGGGGTGCCATTGTCGCAGGACAAGGCGAGGTAGGGGCCGGGGCGGCTATTGCCTGACACCATTGGCCCCCGCACACAGAGGCCAGCAAGCACATGGGGGGGGGGGCGACAGCGTCTGTCAGCAGCCACAGCCTGACGGCCCCATGACCGGCACATTCTGGGGCTCTGCAGCCCACTGCCAGCAGTTCAGAAGAGCCGCCTCTGAGCTAGACAGCCGGCCGACAGCTGAGGAGGCGATGCAGTGGGTTGTGCCCGGGAAAAAGAAAGCATGAGAGGCCAGGAGAGATGGGACGGGGGGGGGAGGGAAGTCAGCTGTGCTGGGATGCATCTGGCCACGTGAGACCTCAGCAAGTTAGCGGCCGGTTGGTTGAAGAGGGACGGTTGCCATCTCTGGGGCATGGCACGCGTGCCCACAGAGAGGGCTCTGAGTGCCGCCTCTGGCACGCGTGCCATAGGTTCGCCACCACTGGTGTAATATAAACCACATTTAATACAAACCACTGTTTACTGTATTTACTCCTGGGTTACCTCAGCGCAATAAGACCGTGCATGGTCTGACAGACTACCTGTATTCATGTATTTATTTCCGTGAATTTTATAACATTTTTCGACACTATGGACCTAAAGCAGCTTAACAAAAACTGCTTTTCCTGTAGGAGCACGGAAAGCAGTCCACAATTCCACTCACTGTGGCAAAAGTGCCACAGGCTTCTATCAACAAGGGGACATTCGTCCTGAATTTGGGAACAGTGAAAGGGCACTTGTCCAGTCCTGACGAAGGAGAAGATCAGGCTAAGCCCGAGGGGGAGAGGGGGTCAAACAGGTCATCAGTCTTGAATCCCTTTGTGCCCACAAGAGATCTAAATTCAGCTCTCCTTGAATTCGTTGCCAATCGCCTTCACCGTTAGTAGTTCAGATCTTATACAGAGCTTTAGTGTACAATAAACCTATATATTCATGTGAACTGCCTGGACTCCTGCTTTCCTATGCTTGACAACTGTAAATTTAATAAATAAATTTGAAAAAAAATATCCAATCCAAATTTCTAACGTTGCATTGCTATTACACAGTTCACTTGTTATCTTTTTCAGAAGCCAGTATCGACTAAACCAAGGGCTTATAAAATGTCAGAAATAGATATAATATTAGCATGTACAAGAAGGCTTACATGCGTACACAATTCAATCTAAGCCCTTTTATCAAACCATACTATTAAACGATGTCTCATTTTCGGAGATCAACTCTCATGAAATAATAGTTACTATTTTGTTCGATGTCATACGAGCTGCCAACCCAGTTGTATAGTCAAAGTTGGTGTTCCATTTTTAAGCTAAACGTGATTAGGGGGCCTTGATTCTGAAGCATCATTACTTAAGCCTTTTAAGGTTTGTTTGCTGTCCTTGAGCAGGAAAACAAACAAAAAATTCTTAATCTGCCCGTACAATCGTGAAACAGGGATTACGCCCTTGGGTATAAAAGCTTTATTTAATTGGAAAAGTAAAAACAAAAAAAAGCCTAATTATCATGGCAACCAATGCTTGTGTATGTTTTTTCAGGAAATAAATTCATTAGGAAAAATGATAATACTCCAGGGGGTCTTCAAAGTCAGCCCTTTTATGACTTGTAAACGTCAACTCCCAGAATTCCTCAGCCAGCATGCCTGGCTGAGGAATTCTGGGAGTTGACGTCCACAAGTCATAAAAGGGCCGAGTTTAAAGACCCCGATATAGTCTATTAAATGGATTTCGCCACAAGTAGGAGACACCGGAGGAAACCACACCCACCAAGAGTTCATCAAATGGGTTATTTCTCACTTACATTTTGTCCTGGCCACCCACTCGCAGCGTCAGCCGGGGAATCACAGGCGATGGGGCAGGTATGACGGGTTCCACTTTGATCTGCTGAAGGTAACATATTCCAGTGTTAAAATAGGACAGTGGTGGCGAACCTATGGCACGGGTGCCAGAGGCGGCACTCAGAGCCCCCTCTGTGGGCACGCGCGCCATCGCCCCAGTCCTCGGCCTTCAGCTGGGTTTTATAAAACCTTTTCGCTTTAGGCCTCCGCCGCTTTGTGCAAAAAAAAAAAAAGGTTCAATCAATCAGTCAATTTCAACTTCTCGCGGGGAAAAAAAAATCTTGTAAAGTTGGAATTGATTGATTGAACTTTTTAGTCCCACCCAGTCTGCCGTCACCACCGCAGCCACGCCCAGCCAGTGGGCCACACCCACTCCATTGGCCATACCCACCCGGCACCCGATGATGCATAAGTGGGTTTGGGGTTGCAATTTGGGAACTCGCCATCACTGAAATAGGGTATCTGCTAGAGAGGAAAGTGTTCACGCTGTGTTGAATTGTGCAGAGCAGGGTGTCTCCAAAGTTGGCAATTTTAAGACTTGTGGACTTCAACTCCCAAAATTGACTCTAGGTGTCTAAAGAAGAGGTGTGGGGGGGAGGAACAGATCTACAGGTGGTTCTCAACTTATAACAGTGTGTTTAGCGACCATTCAAAGCTACAACGGCACTGAAAAAAAGTGACTGAGGACCATTTTTCACAGTTACGGCTTTTGCAACATCCCCACGATCGCGTGATCAAAATTCAGACGCTTGGCAACTGGCTTGTATTTATGACGGTTGCCGTGTCCTGGGGTCATGTGATCGTATTTTGCGGTCTTCTGACAAGCAGAATCAATGGAGAAGCCAGATTACACTTAACAATCGGGTTACTACCTTATCAGCTGTAGTGATTCACTACAGGGATACTGTAATGGTCATAAGTGTGAAAAACAAATCACTTTTTTTCAGTGCCTTTGACCAGTCATTAATCAAATGGCTGTAAGTCAAGGACTACCTATATATTCAAGGAAATATAAATGTGGGTATGCATGAAGAAGACCAGAAGTGATTTAGAGTGGAGTGGAGTGGAATGGAATAGAATAGCATAGAATAGAATGGAAAGTATGGAATAGAATGGAATGGAAAGGAAAGTATGGAATGGAATGGAATAGAATAGAATAGAATAGAATAGAATAGAATAGAATAGAATGGAATGGAATGGAAAGGAAAATATGGAATGGAATGGAATGGAATAGAATAGAATGGATTGGAATAGAATAGAATAGAATGGAATGGAAAGTATGGAATAGAATGGAAAGGAAAGTATGGAATGGAATACAGAATAGAATAGAATGGAATAGAATGGAATGGAAAGTATGGAATAGAATGGAAAGGAAAGTATGGAATGGAATAGAATACAGAATAGAATGGAATGGAATGGAATAGAATGGAAAGTATGGAATGGAATGGAACAGAATAGAAAGGGACCTTGGAGGTCATCTAGTTCAACCTCCTGCTCAGGCAGGAAACCCTATACCATTTCAGGCAAAGGGCTGTCCAGTCTCTTCTTAAAAGACTCCAGTGTTGGAGCATTCACAACTTCTGGAGGCAGGTTGTTCCACTGATTAACGGTTTTAACTATTTAAATGGACAAGGTTTTTTTTTTAATGTGAAGGGAGCATGAAGTCTCTACGATTAAAATTTAAAGAAATGCAATTCTGGAGCAAGCTGGGCATTTGGACTGGGAGAAGAATATTTACAGTGGATTACAAAACTTCCCAGTCCCCAAAGTGGCAATGTCCAGCAATGTCAGACTCCTTTGCCGCTAACTAAAAACACATTGTCCCTGGATTTGTCCAGTTTTATGTATAAGCAATACTTCTTTCACCTGAACTAATACTAGTAGTCCTATAAGCCCCTTATTGCAGTGTGTGCTGCACAGGATTTTTTTTTTTATTTTTTATTTATTTTTTGGCACTAATCTTCAAGGATTTAGCTTCTTTGCCACATACCTCAGGGCACCAACTGATAAAGCCTTAACTCTCCGTTTTTCTAGGACACCAACAGAGCAGCCTTGCAAAAAATGAAAATCACTCAAGAGATTTAAAAAAAAAAAAAAAGGGGGGGGGGAGAGAATTTATTTTCGAAATCCTGACTTCCAACGAAGAGATGGACTTTTTCCATCTTTTTTTTAAAAAAAAGAAAAATAATAATAATAAAAAGAAACGAGAGGAAGGCTTATCTCTGGAAATCGGTTTAAATTTTAATTTTTGCGGAGGGCCTCTTTCATGCAGCCCGGCTTTAAAGTTTTATCTTTTGACGGGGACTGTTCGCCAAAGCTAACAGGGAAGCTTTGTCAACGTAATCTGCCCGAGCTTATATTGCTTTCCTATAATACAATATATTTTAGGAGTATAAAGAATAGATTTTTTTTTTAATCGCTTGTAATGGTGTATTATAGTCCTAATAGCGTACTGGATGGTAACAGTAGGAGACGAGAACTAGTCACTAAGTGAGGGAAGAGCTCTTTTATTATTTTTCCCCCCTAAGTTTATTTTAATCATTTTTAGCACTTGATCCAGTAGTCGCAGCTTGGAACAGGATCCCCCTATCTGCTCTCAAAATCTGTTAATATTGTGAATACGGCAATTATGATAGCTCCCTTCCGCAGGTAAGATAATCATTCAGGGATATCTACCTGGGAGATTTACCCTACCAAACATGATTCCTGTAGGGATTTATAGAGCCGTTTCTTACGCCAAAGTATCCAACCTAGGAAAAAAATAAATGAATAAATAGAAGGAGCAGTGAGAAGGAAATACCAAGCCAGATAGAGCAGATTGGATCTCAGATACTTAAATCCCTTCTGTCTCCTTCAATGAGCTGGCTTTTTTTCCCACTGCACCACTGCCAAATAAGCCCGATAATCTGATAGTTGGAGTGAAATTTCTCTTTCTTTTTCCAGATTCTCCTTTTTCCTTGGTGTCTGTGTAGTTTAGAGAGAGAGAGAGAGAGAGAGAGAGAGAGAGAGAGAGAGAGAGAGAGAGAGAGAGAGAGAGAGAGAGAGAGAGAGAGAGAGAACACGTTGCCATTTCTGCAAAGAATCTCCCATTTGTACCCTAATGGTATTTTGTACGGGAGAGTCCACATCAACTCAAGAGGTTGTTAACCGGTTTGGTTGAGGTACTGGATGAGAAATGAGAAAATCTGAATGGTGCTGGTTCAGGAATTCTGGGAGTTGAAGTCCACAGGTCATGAGGGCAGTTGCCCACCCGCCCACCCGTGCATTAGGTCAAGGGTGAAGGTCCTGTGCCCCCTTCAATGGCATCTCTCATCTAATCTAATTAGATCGGTCTAATGAAATCTAGTCTAATGAAGAGAAGGACCAGGGGGGACATGATAGCAGTCTTCCAATATCTCAGGGGCTGCCCCAAAGAAGAGGCAGTCAAGCTATTCTCCAAAGCGCCTGAAGGCAGGACAAAGAAGCAACGGATGGAAACTCATCAAGGAGAGAAGCAACCTAGAACTAAGGAGAAACTTCCTGACAGTGAGAACAATTAATCAGAGGAATGACTTGTCTCCAGAAGTTGTGAATGCTCCAACACTGGAAGTTTTTAAGAAGAGACTGGACAGCCATTTGTCCAAAATGGTATAGGGTTTCCTGCCTGAGCAGGGGGTTGGACTAGATGACCTCCAAGGTCCCTTCCACGTCATTAGACGTGAGCCTCAGTCAAATTGACTGGCGCTGATGGCTGACACGGGTTGCTGCCAGCATCCTAGATATCAACCAGGTATCTCCTTAAAATGTAAGATGTTCCGAGTAGCGCAGTTTTTTTGTAGCATTGCTGGAGTTATTGCAGGAAGCTGCAGTTTTCTGAAATATTTTGCAAAGTTTTTGGACATAGTTCCCAGTGCCCCGATGACAATGGGTATCACTGTTACATGTTTCATCCATAATCGAGCAGTTTCGATGGCCAGGTCTGGATGAAACAAGTAACAGTGATATTATTATTATGGATCATCGCACAAAGTCCCCTGGCTTAAGCAAATGTCATCATTTTTAAGCGAAGCAATGGACACTGTAAAACAAGGTCACATGACTGTGGGACCACTGCTAACAGTCATAAATGTGAATGTTGTTTAGTCGCATCATTGTGGAGGGGGGCCAATCTTTAGAACTTCAACACAGATCCTTTAGTCCTCTTTTTCAGGCCAGACTTAACTTTTTCGGTATTGGTTAAGGGCTCAAGGACTATCTGTGGAAGGTTTTTTGTTTTTTTTTTTTTTAATTTTTTTAGAAAAGCAAAAGCTGCAAACGTATACAGGTAGTCCTCGACTTATGACCACAATTTGGGGCCAAGATTTACGTTGCCCAAGTGAGAAATTTGTTAAGGGAGTTTGGCCCCATTTTACGACTTTTCTTGCCAGATTTGTTAAGCCAATCCCTGCAGTTGTTAAATTAGCAACACGGTTGTTAAGTGAAGCCAGCTTCCCCCGTGGACTTTGCTTGTCAGAAGCTCTCAAAAGGGGACGCTGCGACCGTCATAAATGTGAGACAGTTGCCAAGCATCCGAATGCAAATCATGTGACCCTGGGGAGGCTGTAACGGTCGTAAGTATGAAAAATGGTCATCAGCCCCTTTTTTTCAGTGCCGTTGTAACTTTGAACTATCACTAAATGAACTATTGTAAGTTGAGGACTACTTGTATACGGTCCAACGATCTGCACTCTCCCCCTTTTGCTGTTTGCATCCCTGTTTTTCAGTTCAGAATTCGGCACACTTTTAAGCTAAATATATCATTAAACCCATTTTTTTTTTAAAAAAAATCAGCATATAATTTTGGACAACGAGGAAGGCGAGTCCCATCGCTCCCTCCTAACGTAGGAGAGACTTACTTTTTCGTGTTTGTGTTTCTCTTTCTCTTTCTCCTTCTTCTCCCGTTCCTTCTTCTCTTTCTCTTTCTCCTTCTCCCTCTTCTCCTTCTCTTTGTCCTTCTCCCGCTCTTTCTTTTTCTTCTTCTCTTTTTTGTCTTTTTTCTTCTCTTTGGGCTTTTCCTTCTCCTCGAACAGCTTCTCGGGAAGGACCGCAGAGGGGGGCTGCAGCAGGGAGGGGAGCTTCAGAGCGGTGGGGGTGCAGTACAAGGGGAGGGGCAGGTCTTTGGGAGGGAGGACCAGCGGGACTGACAAAGCTTTAGCCTTGTCCTTCGTTTTATCTTTCATTTTCTCCTTGTCTTTTTTCTCCCGGTCCTTTTTGCCTTTCTCTTTCTCCTTCTTCTTGTGTTTCTCGCGTTCTTTTTTGGGCCCGGGCTCTTTGATCTTCACTTTCGTGTCATCCTCAAAGTCCTTCATTTTGAACTTGAAAGAATCCAGGTCATCTTCTCTGATCAGGTCCTTCCACGCAAATTTGGCTTCTTTGCCTCCTTCCCTGTCTCGATCCTTCTCCTTGTTCTTCTCCTTGTCCTTGTTCTTCTCTTTGCTCTTCTCCTTATCCTTCTGCTTGTCTTTCTTTTTCATTTTGGTCTTCAGCTCTTTCTTCAGCTTCTTCTTCACCTCCACCGAGGCAGCCTGCTTGGTCTTCTCCTCGTAGATTTTGAGCAAAGGCTCGGGCGTGGGCGGAGAAGCCGAGGGAGACGAGAAATAAGGGAAGTTTGCCGGTAAATGCGCGTGAGGACCCAGGTTGGCTTTGCGGATCACCTCGTCAATGGAGTCGTCCATCGTCCATGAAATATCCGAACTTGAGGTTCCTCCACAAGGAGGAATCGGGGTGCTTCCTGCTTTATTCAAGCTGCTATTTGCAGAAACGGAAGCTTTCGGGATAGGAGGCTCAGACACAGAAAGTCTTTTGGGGCTCGTGAAAACGTCTCCTTCGGATTCGGACCCGGAGGAAAACTCAAACGGATCGGGATCCCGTTCTGCACACGCCCGGGCAATGACCGCGTCGATGGAATCGTCAATTGTCTTGTCAATCACAGTGAATTTCTTTCCTGGGTTCTCACTAGGGGCTTTGGCAGGTTCAGCTGGCATCAGCACTTGCTTAACCTGGAGAGTCTCTTTCCCCATCTTTTCACTCAAGACGACTAATGGGGTTTTAATCGGGGTCTCCTGCTTGATTGTAATCTGAGGAACCACGTGGATGGGAAGTTTCGGACTTTTCGGGCTTCGGGGACTCTTCGCTCGGCCCGCAGATTTTTTCTCCTTGGTTCCAATTTTGGGCGAGCGAATGGGGCTGCCCGTAACGGCCGGCGACGGGGAAACTTTGGGCGTTTTGGTCTTCTGCACCGGAGAGACGGTTTTCACCTTGGGTTTAGGAAGAAGGGCTTTGGGTTCGGGGGGTTTTGGGATGGGCAGCTGCGACTTTGCGATGGGAGCCAGGACTGGGGGCTCTGGAGAAGACAGCACCTGCTCACCGCTCTCCTGAGCGCAAACTGGGGAAAGCATTGGAGGCACCTTCTGGGTACTGATCGAGCTAAGAGGCTCGCGTGCCTCCAGGGTGACTTCGAGCGCCTCCCCCTTCGTGTTTGTTAGTTTGGGGCGCTTCGCCGCAGGCATTTCCTCGGACTCCGGGCTTTCTAAGGGCCTCTTGTTTAAGTAGTTTTCGTCGTTCACAGCCTCCTCTTCTTCCATTTCTCCTTCGTCCTCCAAAGGAACCTGCATGGCTTCGGCGGAAGTCCCTCCATCCGTTGGCACCTGTTCTTCTTCTTCCTCTGGAGTAAGAAACAAGAAAAGAGCAAGTTACTTTCCGGCTCCGAATGAGAAAATAGTTTAGGGCAGGGGGCCCCAAACCCCAGTCTGTGGACCAGCACCAGCAGTGGTGGGATTCAGCTGGTTCGCACCAGTTCGGGAGAACCGGTAGCTAAATTTACCTGAATTCGGAGAACCGGCTGGTTTCTGGAAATCCAGTCTAGGCCTCAGAGGCCTCCCAGGCCTAGAACAGCCCACCGGAAGTGCATGGATACCACTTCCGGAAGTCTGTTCTAGGCATCTGAATGGTCACTGAACGAACTGTTTTAAGTCGAGGACCACCTGTACCTGCACAAGTGAAGGTATACTGCTTTGAAAAGAATCAAGATGGCTGCATTATGCAAGGACAATTCTAGTGTTACTGCTGTCACACAAGAACTACACATTTCCTTTGCTCGTTTGCTTCTTGACAAAAGGCTTTTTCTGGCTCTATTTTTGGCAGCGTGGCAGCTGATGAACCATGCGTCCCTCTTCCAGTGACGTGACTGACAGCTCACAAAAACCCTCCCTCATCATGTCTATGTCCAATTTAATGAAGAGAAGGACTAGGGGTGACATGATAGCAGTCTTCCAGTATCTCAGGGGCTGCCCCAAAGAAGAGGGAGTCAAGCTATTCTCCAAAGTGCCTGAAGGCAGGACAAGAAGCAACGGATGGAAACTCATCAAGGAGAGAAGCAACCTAGAACTAAGGAGAAATTTCCTGACAGTGAGAACAATTAACCAGTGGAACAACCTGCCTCCAGAAGCGGTGAATGCTCCAATGGTAGAAGTTTTTAAGAAGAGACTGGACAATCATTTGTCCAAAATGATGTAGGGTTTCCTCCAAGGTCCCTTCCAACTCTGTCATTCTATTCTGTTTTATTTTGGGCCTCAGGCTGTGTGATGCCCCTCTGGATGGAGGTGGCTTTCTACCTTTGATGCATTTACAGAAATGTTTAGGGGAGCTGGGTGTGTTTAGATTAGAAGGCTGAGTTTGGGAAAGGGTCTCTCTGAAGGTCTAGGGAGATTCTCAATCATCCAGGTCGTGCTTCTCCCAAAGGTGCTTTTCCAAAAAATAAAAAATAAAAAAGGCAACTGGACGTTCTTGGTTCTTCTCCTTTGAAAACGTTTCAAGGCAGAACAAGAAGCAACGGATGGAAACTAATCAAGGAGAGAAGCAACCTAGAACTAAGCAGAAATTTACTCAGAACAATTAATTAGTGCAGTGTTTCCCAAACTTGACAATTTTAAGGCTGGCTGTGGAATTCTGGGAGTTGAAGTCCACATGCCTTAAAATTGTCAAGTTTGGGAAACACTGAATTAGTGGAACAACCTGCCTCCAGAAGTGGTGAATGCTCCAACATTGGAGGTTTTTAAGAAGAGACTGGACAACCATTTGTCTGAAATGGTTTTGGTTTTCCTGCCTGAGCAGGGGGCTGGACTAGATGACCTCCAAGGTCCCTTCCATCATCATCATCATCATCATCATCTTTAAAGCGCTCGAATAAAAAGCCAGCCACAGATACCATCTGAGAAACAACCGAACATGCATTTGCTGGGTGCATTCTACTTATTATAACAAACTTTGCTTCTCCTGTTTTGAACCGCTCTCCAAAAATCCCATTTTAGTTTTGGTTTGCCTTCAAACCTTTGGAGCGGGACTTTCCTTTTCCTCTAGAATGTGTCAAAGGCCCAGATTTAGGAGACTTGAGTCAAGAGCCTTGGGTCTAAACATAAATTTGTGCCAGCAGCCGCAAATTAAGTAAAAACAAAAAAACCCTAAAACAAGTTAAGCTTTTCCCAAGGCCCGGAGGATTTACGGCAACAGGTCCAAAGTGGAAAGTCTGCCTGGGGGGGATAAAGCCTTCTGTTTTATTTAGCCTTCCATAAGAAACAGAAATTTGTTAGTTCAGTTTTGCTTGGATGGACATACAGTATATGTTTTTGTCCTTAAAAAAAAAGAGAGAGAGGAGGAGGAGGAGGAGGAGGAGGAGGAGGAGGAGGAGGAAGAAGAAGAAGAAGAAGAAGAAGAAGAAGAAGAAGAAGAAGAAGAAGAAGAAGAAGAAGAAGAAGAAGAAGAAGAAGAAGAAGAAGAAGAAGAAGAAATAAATCAAATCAGCCTCTTGTGTCCTGGCATCTACTAGAAATAGACTGTGCTGCTGGATTTGGTGCAGGTTCCAAAAACTGGGTTTAATCACTGCCTGATCTTTTCGGGGAATGAAATATACTCATATTTCCCTAGGGTGGTGTGATTTAAAAGAGAAATGAGATGAGTTAGAAAAATATTTCAAATTCGTAGGTTTGACCTCAATGTTACAGACAGTTGTCCAGTGCAGAGGTGAAAGAAAAAGAATTATCTTAACACTCCTGTAACAAAGATGACTAGGGGACTGGAGGCTAAAACATACAAAGAACAGTTGCAGGAACTGGGGATGTCTAGTTTAATGAAGAGAAGGACGAGGGAGGACATGATAGCAGTGTTCCAATCTCTCAGGGGCTGCCCCAAAGAAGAGGGAGTCAAGCTATCCTCCAAAGCGCCTGAAGGCAGGACAAGAAGCAACGGATGGAAAGTAATGAAAGAGAACACCGGAAGCTGGAACAAACACTATTTCTGAAGGAAGATACAAATTATGAATCTGGTCAACCTATAAAATTTGCCCTAACTTTCTTGATCCTGCTGCAGTATTTAATAACATTTATTGGAGGATGTCAGAACCAGGACAAACCATGCAATGAGAAGAGTAATCAAGATTAAGTCATGGCTAGGGTTTTTTGGGTTTTTTTTTGTTAGTAAGCAGACTTCCACAAAAGTAGCCAAAACGTTAAAGATAACACTTATGTCTTTATGTTCAGATATTGTGAACATGTATTTTAACCTGGAAAATTGCTCTGGAAAACATGCTAATATGCGTCAATACGGTGAAGGTGTTTCAAAATGATTAATTAATTAATTTTATGCCACCTATCCCCCCCTATAAAGAGACTCTGGGCAGCTATTAATAAAAACAGTTCACGGTTTGGGAGGGAAGATGAAGTTATCTCACAAACCGTCAAAAAATTAGAGCTTAATGATTTAAATATTAGAATAAAAACATGAAAGTGGAACCCAGGCTGAAGATACTGGAATAATCTAAACGGACAGTTCAATCTTTCTTTCTTCCTTTTTTTTTTTTGTACTTGCGTATAGTTCAGTTAGAATTCATAATCAATTTATGTCGCATGATATAGAACATGTTAGTGAGCTGAATGTGTGCGTGTAATGACTGGCTAAATTAACTTGGATATGTTGAAATGTCTATTACCTGTTTCCACGTGTAATAATTTGATAACCCTCATTCCCTTAGCACCCCTTCCAGGCTTGTCTGTGAATTGTTCAGCTAATGGCCAAAGACTCGGGAGAAAATTCTCTGAATAAAGAACAAAGAGATTTTTAGCCATTAAAAAACAGACCCTACAACATGTGAATTTTCAGTCGAAAGGCTAAAAATACACTTTATACCAGTTCAAACACTCAGTACTGAACTAATACAGGTAGTCCTCAACTTACGGCCATTTGTTTAACGACGGAATCAAAGTTACAACAGCACTAAAAAAATGACCTAGGACCGTTTTTCACTTACGACCACTGCAGCGTCCCCATAGTCATGTGATCAAAACTTGAACACTTGGCAACTGGCATGTACTTATGACAGTTGCAGCGTCCTGGGGTCGTGTGATCCCCATCTGTGACCTTCCCAGCTGGTTTCTGACTAGCAAAATCGATGGGGGGGGAACCCGATTCGCTGAACAACTGTACGATTCACTTCACAGCTGCAGTGACTTTCTTAACAGCTATGGCAAAAAAGGTCATAAAATGGAGCAAAACTCACTTAACAGCTGCCTTGCTCAGCAATGGAAATGTTGGGCTCAACTCAATTTATAACTTTTTTTTGAAAATGTGTTTTCCTGGATTTTTATTGTTGTTATTCTGTCTCTCACTGTTAAAATAAATCTGCCATTAAAATTATAGATCAGGGGTCTTCAAACCTGGCCCTTTTATGACTTGTGGAATTCAACTCTCAGAATTTCTCAGCCAGGCATGCTGGCTCAGGAATTCTGGGAGTTGAAGTCCAGAAGTCATAAAAGGGCCAGGTTTGAAGACCCCTGTCTTAAATCTAACAAACAAAATGGAGGCTGGCTGAGGAATTCTGGGAGCTGAAGTCCACCAGTCATCAACGGGCCAAGTTTGAAGACCCCTGTCTTAAATTTAGCAAACAAAATGGAGGTTGGCTGAGGAATTCTGGGAGTTGAAGTCCACAAGTCATAAAAGGGCCTAGATTGAGGACCCCTGTCTTAAATCTAACAAACAAAATGGAGACTAACTGAGGAATTCTGGGAGTTGAAGTCCACAAGTCATAAAAGCGCCTAGATTGAGGACCCCTGTCTTAAATCTAACAAACAAAATGGAGACTAACTGAGGAATTCTGGGAGTTGAAGTTCACAACTCATAAAAGGGCCAAGTTTGAAGACCCCTGTTACAGACTGATTCATTTCTTTGTCAGTGGGCAAACGTACAAAATCAGAAGGGGATCAAATATTTTTTCCCTTCACTCTACTTGTATTCTTCTTTATTGCTGCTGTATAGTAGAGCTCCCCAACCTTTGCGGACTGATGGGGGGGGTGTGGCGGTTCCAAACGGCTCAAGGCCTGGTAATGGGCCGTGGCACAGGGCTTGGGGACCCTTGCTGTACAGAAAGTCCTCGCTTACCAACCACTTAGTCAGTGGCCATTCCAAGTTACCACAGCGCTGCAAAAAGAGACTTACGACCGGGTCCTCAAAGTTGTAGCCGTCGCAGTGTCTCTTGGTCGTATGATCGCCATTCGCGACCTTCGCAGGCGATTTCCATCAACAGAAGATCCAATCCACTTCCCGTTCAATCATCAATCAGGGCTGCCCTAACCAGAGACCTCCACAGAGCAAACTCACGGTGTATTCCTTATTTAA